CGTCGTGCTTTGAGGTGCGTGATGAACTGCTAAATTTTATACGCCTCATCATGCAGCCTCGTCTGATCGATAAAATGACCTTGGATTTAATAATCTGTAAAGATATGTTTAGCTTCATCCAATGATTGTTTATTATACCACGTGAGTTTGATTGACACATTTCTATTCGGGGCTACGCCTTAAAATACTGCTTCCACTAACAGATCGCGTCTTTCTTGGAAAACATCTAACATCTAGGACAACTCGTTTTGATTCAAGTTTGTTTTCGAATTACCCTCGTTCAGGACTAAACCAAGATGAAGCTCCTCATTGTAACACTTTGCGTTCTTGCTGCACTTATCCCTTCTGGTAAGTAGATAACTATAAACGTCTAATAAATAGATAAGGGATAAATAGATATTAATAATATATGTTAGTGGTTTCTTTAGTCTTCGCTCGTACCGCTGGGGGAATCTGTCTGCAGAGCCGAAATCAACCTTGGACAAGTAAATTGTTGGGTAAAAAAGTAGACTTTTTTCCTTAAATATCTTAAAAACAAGACAAAATCTCATTAAGGAATTAAACTACAAATGGATAACTATATACAAATGATAAAATAACGGAAAAAATTACTGAGCTAAGTTGTTTTTTTTCGCTCGTGTTTGCTTCTACCATCGGCGGCGTCTACGTAGCAAAACGACTGATCCCAAATTAACTTTGTTTATAACATTCTTTCTTGGGATAAGAATGTAGACTTCCATTAMATAACTTAGGAACAAAACAAAGTCTTATATAAGGAATTAAACTAGGAACGGATAACTATAATCAACGACAGATTTAAGTGCTTTCCTGAGTCAGTAGTGTTTGCTCGTCTACATAGCACTGGAAGAGATTCCAACGACAACTTTGAAGTGTTCTTCTTTTTCAATAGAACTTAGACTTCTCTTAAATATTTCAGAATTAGAATGAAATGAAATAGTAATGCTGCCAATAAAAGCTCGCATCGAGTATATAAGTTACTTATGCTCGTCAACAAATCATTGCATGGACTCGCTACGACATACTTAGAGGAACTGTTGTCCATATATACTAATATATTCCAACACTTGCCGGAGTTCTGAGGTCGGATGGGAACAGTTTTATACTTGAATTGAAACGGCTATAAAGCCCCGTTATAGACATTAGTTAAATATGATTTTTCGTACACTTACTACACATAAACCAAAGTTTACAACGATACTAGTTTGGTTGAAATCGGAGTGCAGTGTACATTTTCTCACGCGACGATGATATTCCTTTGCCTGAGTAAACTCTTGATTCATRAAAACTACATCTTATTGTTAGAAGCTGAGATTTTATTGTTTAGTTAAAAGTCTCAAGAACGTAACCCGACTGTGTTGGAATCTTAAACTTTTTAGGATTTCGCGTTTTCCCATGATTTTGAATGTAATGATATCGGATTTATTCCAAAAATAATAGAGAGAGAGAAAGGTCTGTAGAGCCAAATACTTCGACTCAAGAATCCAACAACTGAAAGRTGTGAATCCAAAGAAATGGTGGGGAGAGGTGAAACGTCTAAGCGGATTAAAGTCCGGTAATAGGAATTTGGTCAGTCAGATTGATGTCGAAGAGTTTTCTACTTTGTCACAGAAAGACCAAGCAAATGCAATTAATTCTGCACATTTTTGCTCTACAC